CACACACACACACAGAACACACACACACACACACACACACACACACACACACACATACAGACGCGCGCGCACATGCATAGGCGGTACGCCAAGAAGACAGCCACGGTGGTGGTTAGGATGTCGACAATCGAGGAGGAGGGGAGGGAGGGGTGACGAGGAGAAAGTTGGAGGAGGGAGGAACGAGGGAAGAGGAGGGAAGAGGATGGAAAGGAGTAGGGAGGACGAAGACTATGACGATGATGGAGTCGACGAGGATAGAGGATGGAGGCTGGAGGAGAAGAGAGGGGAGCGACGAGCATGGATGGAGGAGGAGGGAGGAGGGTGATAAGCATGGATGGAGGAGGGAGCAGGGCGATAAGCATGTATGGAGGACGAGGGAGGAGGAGCATGGACACACACACACACACACACACACACACACACACATACACACACACACACACACATACACACACACACACACACACACACATATGCAGACGTGCGCACGTGCATGGGCGATGACGCCAAGAAGACGCCCATGGTGATGAATAGGGGTCGAAAATGGAGGAGGTGCAGAGGGAGGGGTGACGAGGAGAAAGTTAGGACCGAGGGAAGAGGAGGGGAAGAGTAGGGAAGGACTCGGACGAGGATAGAGGATGGAGGCTTAACGAGAAGAGAGGAGAGGGACGAGGACGGAGAAGGAGGAGGAGGGAGGAGGGTGATGCACATGGATGGAGGAGGAAGGAGGGCAATGAGCATGGACACACACACGTGCGTTTACGCTCCCCTTCGCACAGCAGCTGTATGCACTCCAACTCATCGATCACCGACGCGGCGCGGCAGACTCGAAGACTCACTGCTGCGTCTTTTTCGTGGCGGCGCGTGGAATGCCTACCACTTTGAATTTGAATTCCCGCCGCCACTGCTGCAAGGGCATCACAGAAAGATGTGTGCCCCTCGTGAGGGCATTTCAAGGATGGACCGACGAAACGCCACCAGCGGTCCAGTAAGGGCATATGGGAAAGTTACGCCCCATGCTGACAGGGGCCTGCGGAAAATTTCAGAGGCCCGAGGGGCACCACAGGGTAAGTCGGCCTTCACAGGGGCACGCTGCAAATAAATGCAAACTTCGGGGGCATTTTGGAAATTTTTGGGGCTGTAGAAGTCGCTACTTGGCCTTTCGGGGCTGTAGAAGTCAGCCGTCCGTAGCCCAGTCAGTAAGGTACAGTCTAGTCCTAGTCTAGTCAGCAGTCCCAGTCTCAGTTCCAGTCCACCTTGTCCAGTAAGCAAGTACCAGGTGGGACTGTACCCTCCTTGGGCCCTGGGACCGAAGGCAGGCCAGACCACCGATGAAACCGTATAAATAAAGAGGCAGCGCCAAGCCATTCATTCATTCATTCATTCGCCTGCGAGCCATGCGCAAGCGCCGCTACAGCGACTTGTGCATCGGAGGTCTGCAGGAAACCCCAACGAAGAAGAGGATGAGCGGCCATAGCCGCTAGTGGAGGAGGAAGACGACGACGGGCATAGCCTCCGAGTTGCTGACATCAACAGATAGAGTGCAGTGTGTGTGTGTGTGTGTGTGTGTGTGTGTGTGTGTGTGTGTGTGTGTGTGTGTGTGTGTGTGTGTGTGTGCCTGCACATTCAGCGTAGATCCTACTGTAGTGTGTGTGTACATGTGTGTGAGTAGAGTGAGAGTGTCTGATGGTGGATAGAGTGTTCGGGTAAGAATTCAGACAGGCGTTCGGACGTCATAGCCGCAAGCTGTGACGGTTGACTTCAGCTGAGTTGCTCGCCAAGGGCCATATATCTGAGTTTTCTGTGTGGGCGGGCGGGCGCTGTGCGCCATCTCAAGTTGTTGCTGATTCTGTGTAATGAGGTTGTGTTGCCATCGGGGCACCTACATGTCCGCATGTCGCAAGTGAAGTTGAACAAGTCTGATGGCAGGTTAACAACCGGCAAGATAAGAATCCAATAGGCCTTCGCCGACAAGTTCCAAGGATTTTGGGTTTCCTCACCTCTTAATCCTTTGTTGGTTTCACATTAGATTTGGCAGGTTTGGGCAACCTCCCAGAGGAAAGGTAGAGGAAAGGTAGAGGAAAGGTAGAGGAAAGGTAGAAGAAAGGTAGAGAAAAGGTAGAGGGAAGGCAAGCTGACAGTCAATCCTTCAGACATCTGGATTCTGGAGAAATCAATGCTGATCAGGGATCCTTCAACCCAACGGAAGGAAGCGTGAGGGTGTTCGTGTTGTAGTTCTGACTTACCGGTGGAATAGGAACCAGACTGATGATCCCCAGAATGGATATGGAGCCAGGCCCATACGGACCTGTTTAAAGTTTTTTTTTTTTTTTTCAAGTATAAAAGAAAACAACTGGTAGCAGTCCACGTGATCAGAGTCCAGTAATAGCTTCTTCTTCTTCTTCTTCTTCTTCTTCTTCTTCTCCTGTCTTCTTCTTCTTCTTCTTCTTCTTCTTCTTCTTCTTCTTCTTCTTCTCCTGTCTTCTTCTTCTTCTTCTTCTTCTTCTTCTTCTTCTTCTTCTTCTTC